AGCCAACAGCATCAGCACAGACAGAAGTGGCATTTAAGTGCGTGGCTGGTTGAAATCGTGTCCCTCAGTGTCCACCAAAAATAAGTTCTTAACAGGCGTGGAGCTGAGTGGAGTCACCCAGATTTCCTTTCAGCAGATATTTCATCCTTCACATGGCCACTTTCACTTGGGCCATGATTAAAACAATAAACCCTGGGGAAGCCACCCTGAAGGAGGAGCAGCTGCTTCTCCTCCATGTGGTGTGATGGGAGCCATTCCTCACTGAAAAAAGGGGAGGTGAAATTAGAGACAGATTATTACAGTTTATTATTCCAAGATGCCATGTTTGGGCAGCAAGCCGCCCTTGGTAAAGTGAGGTTGGACACAGTTTCCCCCCAGAGATGCAGAATGAGGAGGGAGAAGTCACCCTCTGGTGTAGGAGATGAGGCAGTGCTGCATCACCTCTGGCCTCTTGTGACAGGCAAGCCATTGTATTGGAAGGATTCTCCCATTTACCTCTGAAAAATCTTCTTGGACATCTGCATTCCATCAGTGAAACCCCACCTTTGACAAATGGTTTTCAAAGGGAAGGGAAGGGAAAAAAAATAATAAAAAAAGAAAAGGAAGTAATAAGCGTTGCCAAAATAAGCATTCACCATGACTCCCAGCCCGGGTTGCTGTGCTTTTGGGCAGCCCATTCTCCTGGGGTTCTGCTCTTCCCACCCTGATTTTCAGTCTGGATAGCACTGGGAGGTCATCATGGCCTTAAAAGAGCTGGGTGACAGGCATGGAGCAGAGACACGGGCTGTCCTTGAATTTGCAAAGCTGTTTTGTCAGTGCACACAATTCCTTTAAAGATCCATCCCCTGGGCTGCCCCAAGGCTCACTGTGCAGCCACAGGAGACACCTAGAACTGGCCCACAACAGAGAAAACAGCCCAGGTCCTGCCAAGCTCAGGATGTGGAGCATCCTACTCTGACTCCTCACTTGGGGCACAGATATCACTGAAATGCAGCAGTTTTCTTGGAGGGTTTTTTTTCCAAAAGCTCAATGTGTTCCACTTCAGCAAGGCTGGAAAATCTATTGTGTCAGCTCTTCTGCCATGCCTGTGCATATTTGCATTTTCCCTGCAGTGTTTTTAGAGATTTCCAGTCCTCAGCCTGATTTGGGACAAAGTCAAATATGTAAATCTTGGAAGCTGCCACAGGAAGAGAAACTCCATTTTTCAACCAGCTTTAGATACAGCCTTCAGCCACGGCAACAAATCTTCTGCCAGCCTGGGGAGCTGTACTAGCCTCTCAGATAAGGGCTTAAAACATGGTCCAGAAGGTCTTTATCCTGCAGCCAGTTTGGGGAGGTGCTGCTGTCCCACCCCTTCAAGGATGGGCTGAAGATTCCCGAGAGATGCTGGTGGGAGGCAACAGCAGGAGGGGGCACGTGGCAGAGTTCCCTGGCTCCTTGTCCCACTCAGCCCTCACAAGCCAGATGAGCAAAGAGCCCAGCTCTCCTCCAGATACAGACCCCTGAGGGTCCTGTGTCTCCAGGACTCACATTCCCAGCGTGGGGTGGACCTGGCTCATCTCCTGCTTGCACATGTTGGTCTGAGCAGCTCCCTGAGCTCCTCCTCTGGGGAGGGAGAAACCCCCACATCCTTGGGGAAAGCTCACCACCCCCTCTGCTCCTTGGGGAGAGCACTCATCTCCTTCACACAGCAGCTTTTTGGGCAAGTGGCACCGAGCCCATCACCTGAAATGTGCTGCTTGGTGATGTCCCAGGATGGGTTTATGGCCTGGCTAATTTTAGCAGCTCCCACTTGAAAGGAGGGCTCCACCTGGCCCTGCTCTGAAACCACCTCTGGGCTGTGAGACAACATCTGGCACAGCTCGGACAGGCAGAAGCAGGAAGCAAAGGAAAACAGTGTCTGTCCGAGCCTGCTGAGGGGCTGCAGCCAGACAGCAAAATTTGGCCAAGAGGCTGGAAAGGGTAACTCTGATCTTAAAAAAGAGGCTTTTTTTAAGAAAGCATGAGACACTGTAAGGTGCTGGTTGCCATTTATCGTCCCACAGCACATTTCCCTGCTGTGGCACAGAGCTGTGGGGACTGACAGTGCTCAAATAAGAGGTTTTGAGGCGTCAGGCTCTAGCTTGAGCCTGTGGGAAAGTCAAGTTCACAACTCTCTCCCTCTGGCCTGAGAAATCAAAAGGAGGAATCCCAACAGTCCTTGGAGAAGGAAAACAACCTTTGCAGGTGTTGTTTGTTCCTTGTTGTTTGCTTGTCAGAAACGGCCCAGGGGTGTTGTTCCAGCTGCCCAGTGATGGTGATGGGTTGGTTTCATGAGCAATGAGAGTTTTACCTCCTCAGACCTGCTCAGAGCTGTCTAGAAAAGAAGATCTGGAAGAATAAAACTTGCTCTCTTGTGCAACTGGAGAGTCTGTGTGGTCACTTTGCTGTTCCCAATACAGTGTGACACAGAGGTGTCAATCCTCTGCCCCACCAAAGCCACTTGAGCTTTATCTTCACAGCTGGAGACCTTGGGGCCCCATCCCTGCAGTACCCTCCAAGCTGTGGGCTGGGGGACTGCAGGGAAGGACAGGGCACAACCATTTCCCAGCCCCACCTTGGAAGGGGCCACTCCTCTCAGAACCAGCTCCTGTCACCATGAGGGTGCTGCCACAAACCTTTGGGTCCCCCAACTTCAGGGCTGAGGGTGGTGAAATAATTAGGAGCAGGAATGATGGAGTTGCCCAAAAAAGAAACACTTGAATGAGAAATAAAAATAGGGACGATGCCCAGAAACCAAAAGCAGAATAGAGTCAAATTCCAAAGACCAGGAACAAGCAAGATGCAACAATATATACCCTTGGGGTAGAACACTCTAGAAACAAAACCTTATAGGGAACAAGAGTTAAGTTACCAAAAAGGGAGTAGAACTTGGATTAAGTAACATCACAACTCCAAAGACCTTTGGGAGGAAATCTCAGGCTCGCCCTGAGTGGATAAATGCTTCCCAGGGCTTCAAGTCTGGTTGTTTCAAGGGAGAAACTGGCTGATTCTGAATTTTATTCTTGTTCAGTCTTGCAAACATTTGGCTCTTGGATAATACCCTGGTCTTGCCATACTTTTCCCACCCAGGCCACTGTGATCCCAGCAACCCAAGAAATGCCCTCTTGGCCCATAGCAGCCATCAGGGGCATGGAAAAAGGCTTGGAAACATCCCACAGTCTTCTCCAGCCCCCTAAAAATGATTGCTGGCCTGCCTGCCGTCCCTCCCAGAGACCTTTTCTTTTTTTTTTTTTGCAAGACCCAATTGTCATACAGGTCCTCCTGGCTTGTGAAGGGAGCTCTCCACTCCTTCTGTTCTCCTGAATTTTGCTGCTTCATGTGATTTCATCACACGTGATGAAGGCAGAGACCCAGAACAACCCACCTGTGCCACAGCTGGCTGAATTGGACAGAGGTCAGAGGTGTTCCAGGCAGCCAAGGGGCAGAAAAACAACTGGTGGGGAAACTGGAAAAGACACAAAGGTGGGCCCAGGAGCAGTCCTGAGCCCCAAATCCAGGCTGCAGAAACCAAACAAGCTGCTGGGCATTGTCCCTGCTCACCTGGGATCTCACTGAGGGGGCAGGAAGGGGAAGGGTGAGCAGTAAAACTCCTGTGGGCAAAACCTTCATGCACAGAGACACTTTGATGTCTTCACTGAGGGGTGAGCAGGAGATGTGGCTTTCCTGTGAAGCAGGAGCCCAAGTCCATTAGGTGTCTGCTGCCATGGTGGGAACACCACAGGCGTGCAGTGTCTGCTCAGGAGACACCTGAAGGCTGTCACACCCTGCTGGGGCCACAGTTCTTGGAGATCCTGCTGGGAAATCCAAGCCAAACTGAGAGCTGGAGCCACCAGGTGAGGAGTGCCAGGCCAGGAGATGGACACCTGCCCAGAGGAGCTGCCTGCAGGTCTGGATGGACATCCAAAGCTTGTTTCAACTCGCTCCAAACCACTCCAATTTTAAAAATTAACTTGGAAGCGATGCTATTTACAAGCCTACTTCTTTTGGCAACCAAGAAATAATAAGCAAGAGGGTGATATTATTATTATTATTATTTCAGCTTCAGAGGAGAGAATAATCAGCTTTCCAAGGAATGCAAGCTTGGCTGACTGCTGAGGGCCTTGCAGAGATACCCATCTCCCCTAATGGGGTCTCTCTGGGGACTGCCCTGCTGAAATTTAACTGCCCAGGGAGGGTCAGAAGGCAGATCAGCAGGGAAACAGGATGCCAACCCAGACACAGCCTAGATTCCCAACAGTTGGCTCAAATCTGAATTAATCATTTAGTGACCAAGAAGGGAAGCTGCAGAAGCCCCCCCAGCATCTCCCCCCACCCAACTGCAGCTCCCAGCACAGACCCAAGCACTGGAGCACAGCTCACCAACTCCAGCCTAGCCCAACATCTCCAGAAGACAAAACCAGCACCACTCCCACCCCTACTTTAACAGCCCTCACTAATTAGCCCTGATGGCCCTCTGAGCTCCTTCTGCCTTGCTTTGCAGTGGAGGGATTTCCCTGCTGAGCCCAGCTCTGTTCACCCCTGATGGGGATTATAAAGTGATGGGACTCAACCCTTTCCCTCTCTCATTTGTTGCTTTCCCTCCTCTCCTCCTTCCCTGCTGGTCACCCATCCCCAGCAGCCACAGGGGAATGTCCATCCCTCCCTCACCTCCCTTCTCTGAAGGGAGACCCCTCTGTTCCCCTTCTCAGCCCCACCTGGTGTCTCACCAGCTCAGTGGGTTGTAGGGAGCTATGGATGAAGCCATGGGAGCATCTCCACTCTTCCTGAACACCGTCTCCCCCAGGAGAAGGCTTTGTGGATGTTTCCTGCCTTACCCTGCTGCTGAACTTGCAGCTGCCTGACCCCAAGCCCAGCTCCACGGGCTCCTGCTCCCTCCTGCAAGGCTCCAGAGAGTTCCCAGCCCCAGCCAACGCTGTGGGACACCTCAGGGCAGCAACACGTGACACAGATGTGGCAGCTTACAGAAAGGACTTGGGGAGTCTCTTCCCCCTTTTTATTGAAAATGATTGTTTCTATTCTAGTGCAAACACTGTACATTTTACATCACAAAGCAAGAGATCATTTACAGGACACAATTCCGTCTGGAAATCCCGTGGCTTCACGCGTCAGGCTCCGACAGCCTCGTCAATCATCCATCCCTGTCATGCAGAAAATTCCCACTTTGAGGGAACCAGTCACACATTTCTCTGTTGAGAAAGGGGGAGCCTGAGAAAACAGTGCTCATACAGAGTAGGCAGGAGGAAAATGCCTTAAGACACATCTCCTCCCCTGAATGGTACCCAAACTTAATGATAACCGTGGTAACCATGGCAACTTCCCAGAGCTACAACTGAGAATCTACTGAAACCCTGGAGAACTCCACTCTCTGAGGATAAAGCCCTTGATTTGCACATATATTTACATGGTTTAATAAAATACAGATTAAACATATGCAATTCTAAAATTTCACTTTGGCTCGATGAAGTCGCTGTCTTTTGGCTGAGGTCGTCAGCAGCTAAGAAACAAACACTGAAAGCTGTCTGTTCATCCAGCTGGACTCTGGTTACTAAATCCACCTAAACAAAGCAATATTGGGTCACCAAAGGGGATGTAAAGCTCTTATCTGAACTGACAAGTGCCCAGTCAGCTGTGCTGGCATCCCTGACCAAGCAGCCCGACCCAAGGCAAGACCCAGCTCAAACTGGAGGTGCAGAAGCTTCCACAGCCTTCCTGCAGGAGCAGCCCCATGCCAGACAATCCAAATAAAGTGAGGAGGCTGAGAAAGGGCTGGCACAGACATTTGTGAACCCCTTCATGTGAAAACCACAGCGTGGGGATGGAGATCTCGGTCCACAGCTGGGCAACGAGGCACCAGGAACTTCATGCTCCCTGAACTGCCCCTTGGGAACCTCAGAAAGTGGTGTCCCTACACAGCAAACAGCAGCAAAAGCTGCTCAGGGTGGTTTTTCTACTGCAGAAAAGCCGAGCAAAGACTGGGGGAAAGCCCCAGACCAGCGAGACACTGAAGGGAAGAGCTGAAACTCCAGGGTGAAGGCTGGGGAATTCATCACTGCTGGGATGGTGGTGGCTCGTGGAGGAGGGCAGCAAGGCAAGGAGAGTGGAGAGCAGCAGCTTAAGGTACTCAACAAGCAGCTCAACCTCTGAGTGATGTTACTCAAAGGCACTGGGTCCTTTCTGACCACATTCTTCGATAGTTTGTGTGTTTGTGTAGGCACGGGAAGCAGGAGTGAGTTTCCAAGTGCAGCCTGTGATTTCCAACGTGATCACTTGGCTCTAGGAGCTGGGCCCACACTGTGCAGGACAGAAATATTTTGGTTTGCACATGTTAGGTTCTCCAGACTGCAGGTGGCCAAAAAAAAGAGTGATCAAACAGAACATGATGGATTTCTTTAAGTAAAGTATTCGCCCTGTCTCCCTCTCCCTGGTGTTCTGCCTGTGACTTTCAGCTTTTTGTCCTGATCACAACTGGGGTTTTTTTCCCCTTAAAAATACCCACACAGGGAGAAAAAAAAAATAAAAAATCCAGCAGCAGTGCATACAATCACAGGCACAACTTACTCCAGTTTGGATTTAGGGCTTTTTTCCCTTGTGCTAGCTCAAATATTTTGGCTGGATTTCCATTCATCCTCTGCCAGTTTAATTTTCACCTACACTTAAAAGAGATTTATTCCTCATTTCCTGCAACATGCTGTTTTAGACTGTCAAAGCCCACTGTCAGACATCTACATATGCTCAGGGTGTCTCTGCAGCAAACACCAGGATGGAGATCTAAGCCACTCCACCAGAAGTATTTCTCATGACTGAGCTTCATTCTCCTCCCATCGTGGTCCAGCCTGGACCATGGAGTAGCTCTGCTGCCTTCAGTGGGGCTATTCCATGGCAAAGTCCATCTCAGCTTGGACACAGGTGCTGTTTGTCATAAATCAACCCCCTCCTCCCCTAAAATGTGAGAGGCAGGCAACGAGAAAGATCCTAATTTCCTCAGGATGCTTGTGGGGAAGAAATGCCTTTTGGGCTGCATCTCCTCTACTCTTTGTGGAGATGGATAAATTAGGTCCTAATTAGGTCTCCAGAGCCCAGAGGGAGGAAAACAGGCAGGGAAAATGGCTGAGGCTACAGGAGAAGCCTTACTGGGCAGTGTTATGGGATCTTTGGTGGGATGCTCCCTGCTGAGACATCACCTGTGCTCGCTCAGAGAGACTTTATTTTTTTTCCCTGGGGATACCCCTGCGTGATCCCAAGAGCCACATGAAGCAGTCTGACTGCAGAGGAGATCCCTGCTGTGTTCTGTGGAGCTGCCCCATGGGGAAAATTCTGCAAAAGAGTGTGGCTCCCTCCAGCACCACTTCTTTGGGCTTTCTCATGGGAGGGCATGAGCATTTTCATCCTTTCCCAGTGCTGCCCAAGGCTGCAGGGAAGAGCTCTGACAAGGCTGTGGCTGGAATTTCAATGCACAGCTCCACCTGGATGCAGCACAAACATCCTGAACGTTTTCAATGGATTTTATTTTGTTTAATAAAAACACCAACCAAGCTTGCATGTATTTATATATATAAATATATACAGTATATATAAAACAAATGCATCTGGACAACGCCTTTCCCTGTGGCACAAACTGTAAGGCATAGAAAGGAGTGTCCTGACAGTCCTGTTCTTGAACTACAGAGAGATCCCCCTGCTACACTCCCCCTGCTCACACACCCACATTGGCTTTTCTCTCTTCTTTGGCTTTTCCAGGCAGCAGTGCTGGGAATACTCAACAAAACAATGGAGCTCTGCAGAGCCCAAGGAGGTTTTCCAGGCAACTCAGACAGCAAGAATCCATCTTGTTGCATTAAATGGGCTTCTCACAGACTGATAGGAATGTGCTGCCTCTGTGGCACAAGGGACTGGAGGGATTGGGTGGATATCATGGGAATTGGTGACCAAACAAATTCTTCTTCTAGGGTGAGCTGGGGCAGCGGGGAGACGAGCAAGCTTTGCATCTCAGCATGTGGTGGTGGGACTTGTCCATGGGCTGAGATTGGCAGAGGTTTCTTTTTGCAGTCCCGTACAAAAATGGAAACCAGCAAGGGTGAGACTGTCATTTACTGAAGAAGCTCGTAGTATATTGAGCAGAAGCAATAAACCTGACGATAACAAGAAAAAAAAACAAAATGGTGGCATTATCCCAAAAAGGAAGGAGGAACCTCATCACTCACAGGTTCTGTTTGCTCCCCGTGTTCAGTTCTGGGTGAGGGTTGGCTTTTTTTTTAATTCTTCTTTTTTTTTCTCTTTTCTTTTTATTGTTTTTTTTTGTTGTTGTTCTCTTTTTCTTTCTTTTTTTTTTTCATTTATTTTTCATTTTTCCTTTCAGCACAGACAAGCCGCGAAAGCAGGACGGGTGCTGTTGTGTCTTCTCCTTCTGCAAAAGCAGCTGCCTGCAGTCGTTAATTGACTGTGGGCACCTGATTCCTCTGTAAACTATATTCCTTTGCCTTCAGTCTCAGGTTGGCAATACTGTTGGCCATGTTCATGCCCTGCGCCGGGCTGGCGTTGGTACACGTGGCAGAGTAGGTGGCCATGGCACTGAGGGATGGAAAGACAAACATCACATCAGACATGACCTCCAAACCACAGCAGAAATCACCAGAAGAGCCTAAACCCTCGTTTTTTTCCACACCTGTGGGGTGCACTCCTGCTGTCAGCAGGGAGTTACCACTGCCCTTTATTTAACACCCCTTTATTTAACATTTTTCCCTGCAGCTCACTCACCCAGCGCCAAAGCTGCTTGAAGTCAACAGGAAAAATTTCCACCTCCTGTTTTCTAACCCAAAAAAAGGTTTGCAATGAGGTCAGCCTGCCAGTCAGACCATTGTCCTTAAAAGTATTCCCACTGGAAGCAATGTCTTTTTGATGAGACCAATTGCTGGTTTTACAGCCTGTGAAATCACGTCACTTCTGAAACACATGTTACATTAAAGAAACGCTCTGGGAAAAAACCGTCTCAACAATTGTGATGTTTTCTGGTTTCAGCCGTTTGGAATGAGAATTTCCACATTTTTTTCTCCCCCCCTCAAAACTTCAGCTGATTATAAAGAGCATGTCCTAAAGGCTGAAGGAAAAAAACCCAAAACATAAACCACTTTTTCTCCCTTCAAACCGCGACTTTATTCATGAAAAACATCACTTCTGACAGCAGAGGCTGAACAAAGATCTCAGACTCCTTTCTTATCCTACCAAAAAAATCTGCAAAGCTGCTCTCCAGACCACTGGAAAACTTGTTTAATCCATGTGGCCCATGGGTTTCTGTGAAAAGCAGCTCCCTCCACTGCCAACTCCCCAAAAGCCAGCAAAATATTTGACCTGCTGCATTTCTTTACATGGCTCCACAGGTCAAAACCAGTTGAAAAGCACCACATGAACAAGAGGTGCCCATTTAAGAGAGAGTGTTCAGGAGGAAGCCCCAAATGCTGTGTTTGAGGCCAGCTCAGCTCTGCTGCTGACCTTTTCCATCTGCCTGCTAGGGTGGCTCACAGCTGAGGCTCTGGGAAATGCTCTGCACCATCCACAGACCAAAAAATAACCAAGAAGGGTTGGGTTTTTTGCCTTTTTCTGTCTTTTTTTTTTTTTTAATAAAAAATAAAAATACTTTCAGCATTGACCTCCACAACTGGAAATGCCTTTGCAACAGCAAATCTCCCTGCAGGGACATGGGCACCTGCTGCACAGATCCAGGCTGGAGCCCCGAGGTTCTGCTGGCATTTCTGACCTCCCAGGAGTTCATTTGCCACCCAGTGCTGTGTGAATCCTCAGTCTGCAGGAGATCCAGAGCAGGGAATATCTGTGTTTCACCAGCACCCAGAGCATGTGGAGGTGTGTTTCTGGAGCTCTTCTCCACCAGCTGCATCCCCTCAGCTCCCTCTCCATGCCTGGGCTGGCTGCTCTCCTCACCCCTAGGTCAGCAGCAATGGGAGAAGTCAAGTGCTGCCTGCCTTCCCAAAGCCCCACAAGATGTAAAGGTGGTGGCTACTTAAACCCCCAGGCCCATCTGCTTCCACAGGGTGCATCTCTCCCATGTTTTTGAGCTGGAAGAAATTTGGAGACCTTCAAGGGGAGTTTTCAGTCAGGGGTGTAAACTGTCCCCATCCAAAACCAGGTTGCTGGCCAAGTCTGGGCTGAAACTTCTGGGAGCCTCTGGCTCCCAGCTCCCCAGAGGTGTGGGGAAGATGATTTCACTTACTGATGCCACGTGAAATCCCTGCTAAACTAAAAATCTCCAGAAGTGCTTTCTTTCAGCAAGTTATTCCACAGGAAGGCTGTGTCCAAACACCAGAGTATCTTGAGGATTGCTCCAGAGACTCTCCAGGCTCTAATAAGGGTTGAAGTCACCCTGTTTCCCCCTCCCTCCACCCCATTCAGGCAGAGAAAAATCTCCTTCTTCCACTCAGCTGTCTGCTTTCATGAAACAAAGAGAAGCATCATGTTTCTGAGGCCTAAAATCCTTTCAAATAAGGTTTTCAGTGGCCCGTGGAGTCAAAGGTTGCTGGAGTGGAAGTGTGGGCTGCCAGTCTTGTTTTTCTAGGAACCTATGCTAAAAAATGCCTAAGAAAAACATTTTTTCAACTTCAAAAAAAAATAATAGCATCTACTTGGCTCTCTGTGCCACAGAGATCTGCAAATAGCTTCGGCTGACCTGTGGCTGAATGTATTTGGAGAATAAACACAAGGATTGAAAACTTTTCCTGGATCTAAGAGTAAAACCAGCCCTGGGCACGCAGCTCCAGGAGTGGCTGTTAATCAGGGGCTGGTACAGCACTGCTGGGAAGATGGGGAGGGGGCAGAGGGCCATGCAAACACTCCACATGGATGGAGGGTTTCAGTATTATTTCACCAAGGGTCCAACATTTTAATGACCTTACTCACTGCAAAGCTTTCATGAGGCTGCAACAGCCCGACCCTTTCAGATGAATGGGGTTGCCAAGAGATGATCAGTAGGATTAGGAAACCTGGGGAGCATGGAGTGCCTGAGGAGCCTGTGCACCCCACAGAGTGGAAAGCAGTTGCTCTGCTCCTCTTCCAGTGGGATGGTGGCACTGCAGCCTGCTCTGATGTGTGAGCTGCAAATGTCTTTGCTGAAACATCTTGGCTTCAGGTAAGGGGAAGATGCATCGTGGATAGGCACAGCCTGGACCTGAGGGGCTGAAAACCCATCCCTGAGGCTGTCCCTTCTGCCCTGTTCTCATTAGCACATCCCAGAGGCTGCAAGTGACCTCAGACAGCCCTTCCCAGTGTCTTCTCCTAGCAGAGATTATGAAGCCCCCTGAGTAAAGAACATCTCGGGAGGGATGAGCTCTTTTCCAAAGTGTGAGAGGCAGAAATGAGCATTCAGCAGGGATCTGGAACTGTGACCAGTGCAGTCTCACTGGGGTGGGGAAGGAACTCACTTCCTTCCCTGATCTCACCTCTGAGAATGCTGTACCAGGGAACTCCTCACAGGGAGAAAGCCTGAACCCCAAAAAGAGGGATTTTGACAGAGAGCAGTCCTCAGAAAAAAATCCAAAGGATAAGGGCCATTTCTAAAACGAAGCTGGTGGCCAGCAACAGCATCCTTTTCCATGTCTGGAGTGGGTGGATGTATGACTCTTCTGGAGATACAGGGTGGATGAGGAGGACCCCACAGAAGTGAAGCAACAGGAAGAGCACGTGTTTGCAGCTCTTACTGTGCAAACACTGCTGGGAGCAGAAAGAGGGTCAAGGTGGCCGGGTACGAGAGGTCCTGTGCATGCTGTGGCTCCTGGAAGGCAGTGGGAAACTGGCAGTGACCAGGCCAGATGAACAGGAAGAAATCCAGCCAAAGGCTTCATGGTCCTGACCAACAATGAAGCCACTGTGCTAAAAACCACCCGCCAACCTCCTTTTTAACTGCCTGTGAGCCAGCTGGCTCCCAGAAACCAACACATCCTGTGGATCTTGAGTCCACACCCAGCTCCTGCAGAGCCGGGAACGGCACAGAGAGGACAGGGAGGCCTGTGATGTGCACGGACATCCCAGATCCTCTGAGACTGGGCTTGCCACATCCGTGGCTCCTTTCCTGTCATCCCTTGAGCAGCACTGACCATGGGAGGTGGACACTGAACACCAGTCTGTCACCTGGCCCTAGATGCAGGCGTGGCATTCACACACACGCTTGTGCTCAGGCAATAGAAACTGCTCACCTGAATAGAAACTGAGAGCACTGCTGCACATGGATGAAGTGAGTTCCCAGCTTTTCCTGGCACCCCAAGCAGTGACTGCCACGGGACAGCCACGGAACTCCCTCTTCTGGCCACTGTGTGGTGGCTGAGCCTCCCCGAGTGCTCTGACCTCCCCTCCCCTGGATCTGTGTCCCACAGAAAGGTCTCCTCCTTGCTATAAACTAGGGAAAACCTTCTGCTTCCATGTATTTCTACCTGAGCCTCTTTGGAAACCTCCTGAATTGCAGAGAGAGAGAGACCCCCAATAAAAACAACAATGCCGAGCTGGGACCACACTGCAAAACCAGCAGTGAGACGGGGTGGGAAGAGCTGAGGAAAGCCAGTGGGATGGTCAGACTGCTGTGTGCTCCAGCTGTCCCGTGTGGGTACATCAGAGCTGGCCGAGGGTCACTTTTGGGATGGCCCAGCGGGGTTACTCACTCACCTGTAGGGCGAGGCAGTCCCCCAGGAGAGATAGTCGGTGGGTCTCGGAGCGGGGCGAGGTACTATGGGCTGCTCCACGGCCGTCACGTCCCCTGAGTAGGATTTGAGCAGAGAGGCGTTCTTGCTGGCCAGCATGGCCCTCTCGTTCCGGCGGAACTTGGCTCTCCGGTTCTGGAACCACACCTGGAGCGGGGAGAGCACAGAGCCACCAACCCTCACAGCCGGCTCTGCTGTGGCACCCGCCCCATCCCCTGTGCCCTGCAGGCTCTGTGGAAGCTGGCTGCTTCTCAGGGAACCCTTAGGATGAGATAACCCTCGTGCCTGCTCTGGCTGAGGGACACGGGTGTCCTGTGCGGATGGCAGCGAGGCCTGGTGGTGCTGTACAACCCACCCCGTTCCACCGCCTGCTTTGGCCCTCAGAAGGTGCAGGCCTGCCAGCTGAGAACTCAAGACAACATGAGCCTGCTTTGGCCCTCAGAAGGTGTAGTCCTGCAAGCTGAGAGCTCAAGACAACATGAGCAGCCTGAGCATCCAACATCAGGGCCTCGAACGAGCCATACGGACACATCTGACCGGGCAGGCGGCAGATCGGGCCTGGCACTCTCCCTCAAGGCATGGTGCTGCAGTGAGCCAGGAGCTTGGTGACCCTCGTGTGCCACACAGGCCTCAAGGATTTCTGCTGCCTCGCTGGAGTGGCCTGGTGATCCCCCAGGGGAGGGGGGAAGCTGTGCCATTACCTGAACTCTGGCTTCAGTGAGGTTGACTCTGCGTGCAAGGTCTTCCCGTACGAAGGCATCGGGGTAGTGTGTCCTCTCAAACACCCTCTCTAGTGCCTGCAGCTGGCTGCTGTTGAAGGTAGTCCTGTTCCTCCTCTGCTTTCTTTTCTTCTTCTCTTCTGAATTCAGCTGATCATCTAGGAGAGACAATTGGGGATGTTAAAAGTGAGCCCTTGGCCACGGGGTGAACGATCTCCATGGATTCCAGAGGGAAAGGGCTTAGGAAGGGGCTTGCACAATTCCAACCCCACACGTTAACCACGCTGTGTTCGTCCCCACATGGAGAGGAGGTGGAAAGGGCACTGACCCCAAGCATTTATTTTTCAATTGCACCACGTAAGATTTAAACCAGCTCTCTCAAGCTACCCCAGCTCTCAGCTTCCTTATCTCCAAAAAGCAGCAAAGAAGCCCAAAATGCATCTCCCCACTCCTGACAACCCCAGAAATCTTTTCTGACGGCAAAGAATCAAAAAACCCTGTTCCCTTGGCTTCGAATTTCCCAGGACTGCTCTTACTGGGATGTAATGCAGCTCTCTGGGCATAATGAAATTCCCAGATTCCCAGACATAAGAGCATGTTGGACACTGTTAGTGAAGAGCAGCTGTGCCCTCTGCAGCATCCTCCTCGCCTTGCTGAGCCCAGCAAGGTGTTGAACAATCACCCAGAAGAGCACGTATCGCTTTGTACCTGGTTTGCATTTACTCAGAAATTAATCAATGCATCTGGATCTCGCCAGTATGTGTTGGGGTGCCACCAAAAAAATCCACATTACCCTGGGGGGTGGGCACCTGAGCCAATATTCATGTCAGCATCAAAGTGTATCAATTCCTGAAGCCATGAAAATTCACCAAAAAAAATCAGATTCTAAGTTTGTCAGTGCACACCTTGGCCCAGGTGACAGTGTCACCACTGAGAGTGCCAGGGCTTGACCTGCTTTGCACAGATGGTGAAGGCCCCCTCAACGCTCCCTCCTTTTGCCGTGCACAAATATGACAGCTCCCCTTATCCCCCTCTTCTCCAGGGGGTATGTAAGGCACAGGGAAGGGCTGACAAGGAAATTTAAGTCTGCAGTTGTTGTCCTCACCACCTGTTTGTGCTGCTTCCCGCAGCCCATCTGTTACCAGTTACTGCACCTGAACACCTCTGGAGCAAGGCCCATCCATTTGGGAACAAAAGGACATTCCTCTTAAATTAAAGTAGGGTTTTCAAATTCCTCCAGGTTTACAGTGCCTCAATTCTCCTCCAACAGCCTGATGAGCCCCAGAAGGCTTCTCTCCAGCCTGGGGACTCCTGGGTGCAAAAACACACCCTTGGTTTTCCCATATCTGAGAGGAAGCGTTCGGAGACCACTTTTAACAGGTGGGCTGAGTTGTAAAGCTGAGCTGTGAAGGGACTGGCAGAGGCAGGAATGTGCAAGAAAAACAAAGGCACGTAGGAATTAAAGCTGGGCCACAGGTGTATCTATCAGCTCAGGTTGGGGGAAGCAGAGGGATGGGATTTAACTGCAGAACCCCCTGCACACGTTTCTCCCTCCTGGGAGGGGTTTAACACCATCAAAGGGTCCATCCCCTATAAAAAAGGAGAAAAACCCTGCGTGTCCCTCTCTTGACTCATCATCAAACCCTTCTCAAAAGGGGTCAGCTATTTCCCCCTGGCTCTGCTGGCGAATTTCGACACGGCTGTGCTGCTGTGCACCACACAACACACAGCAAACGAGCCTCAGGGCACAGAAGTCCCTCCAAATGCCACAAAGATTGCGAGACCAGCTGCTGGAGAGGCCAAAGACAACACGGCCTCCTCTGGAGTTACCCATTTCAAGCTATTTTCTAATCTAAACCCTGAGTATGAACAAATCAATAAAAGCCTTTGGGACCCCTTCAGAATCCCACGCAGGCCTCTGAAGCCTCAGCTTCTGCCCAGAAGACAACACCTGGCTGGAGGGAACACGAGCCCGTCTGGCTGGATCCTGTGTGACAGCTACACATGAGGAAGGGTGAGCACATCCCTCTGGGGAGCAAGAAGAAGGGCCAAAGTCTTATAAAACACCGCAGAACAAGAATTCCCCCTGCCAAGCACGTTAACACAATTTGCCTGGTTTCCTCCCGGCGTAAAGCGAGACGCCGGTGATTCACAGCTCACCTCATAATTACTGAGCCCAAAAATAGCCGGGCCCAGGGACGGAAAGTGTCCGTGCTGGGTGACTCATGGCTGGGTCACTGCTGGCTAAAGCACCCCCAGACTGGGCTGGCACGGAGCAGGGATGTGAGGCACCCCCTTTTTCCAGGACAGAGCTGCATGGAGGTGACAGCGAAGCACAACAAGGGAGGATTGGAATTTTGGGATCTCTGGAACGGCGCGAGATCCCAAATGTCTGCAGGAGTTGATTGGGTAGCAGGGGGAACAAAAAAAAAATAATTAACAGGGTATTAATCCAGAGCAGCACGGGGATGGAGAATCCTTGTGTCCTGCCTGGTTACAAACTGCTAATGAGGGACTGCACACACCTAAACCCCGGCCTGCCTGCAAATGTCACTGCGCTCCCCAGCTGCCTCCAGTGTGTCAGCAGGGTGTTTCTTCTTCTCTGACATTATTTCTTTATCAGGAAACAACACTGAGCACTGAAAAATGGTGTTCCTAAACAGTGCTGACAGCACTGGTGACTGGAGTCAGCAGAAACGGAGAGGAAAACAGCTCCAAAGCTTCTTAGGTAGGTCAGAAGTCTTTCGTCAACGCTCTTCTAATCAGAAAAATTGTATTACATGCAGTGTTCTCAAAAGCTGAGCAGCTTGGAAATGTGCCTCACTGAGAGATTGAAATGTTCTCCTCTCAGGAATCCAGTGCTGGAAAATCTGGGAATTTCATTGCCAGACCCCAACCTTCCATGCTGGGCTGGGGGACCGTGTTTCCTGTTTCCACATTTGCGTTTTCCTGTGTTGTTTCTACATTCCCCCATAACATGCAAGTCCTGGTGTCATACACAAGTGCACCAAAGCGTTTTCAAGTGCTCCTAAATGATCCAGCATGAAACATCCTATTCTTTCTCCCTCTTGCAGCGAGGCAGATCCATACTTGCATTAAAAACAAACAAAACACAGTTGAGAACTGAATGCCTATGTAGAAGTTTCAAGATTGGTATTTTTTTTTTTTCATCAATACTTGCAACCGCAACATATTTTAGATTTCCAGTTTGCAGGAATGCTTGTGCATACTTGCATTCATTCCAGGTCAGAACAAAAGCTAATTTCCAGATGGGATTTACATTGTGTGGGCAGTTTGGAAAAGTTTTGACCAGTTCTATTAAGCCCAGAACCAGCTATTATAGTTCATTAATTGGATCTGAATCGAAAGTAAACAACTGGATTTAATTGAGGGAGGGACAGAGACACTTAACCACAGTATAATGTATAGTAAGGCAGGAAAGATTTGTCACATCAGTTATAGAAACTGTAAACCGAGAAAGGATTCCGGGAAGAAAATAAGGAATCGCGCTCTAATCACCTTCAAAACAAGACGCTCATGTTTGAGCACAGATTTAAGAACAAGCGAGACTAATGATCTCACAGTGAAAAAAATAATAAACTATAACTTAAAAAGGCAACAACTCAAAACTCTTAGAATACAAAAAATGCCACAAAACAGAGAAAGTTTCTTTCAGATCGGCGGAGAAATAAAGGAAAAGGGAGAACAGAAGGGAAACGAACGGGGCTTTTTATTTGGTTTAAACTCAATTCTCATGAAACTTGAATAGAAATATTTCTGGGTGTTCCCCCAGCTCTGGGCAGGCTCCTCTCCCCAACATCAACCATCCAGTTTATAGCCCATCACACACTCCAAGTCCAGTTTTACTCATGCTCTGCTTTGCTTTCGATTCGTTACATCCCTCCAAAACATCGCAAGGCTTTGTGTGCAGGGCAGCTTTGTCAATAAAGCTGCTTGGCACCATAAAAAAAATTAAAATAAATCCAAACCCAAAACCCAGACCCAGAAGGTTTAATTGAAGAGAAAACAAGGCTCTAAGCAGAGGAATGGGAGCATACAAAATCCACACAGTTTTTATCTGTGACTACAGGTCAGACTATAGAGATTTTTGAACCATCATTTTCCTCTCGTTACACAACACCAGCTGAGCTTTTTTCCTAACCTCTGATGTTTATTTGTTTTGGTTTCTTTTTCTGCACTATCTTAATGTTTAAATTATTTCAATTACACAGAAAATTCAAGTATCCCAAGCTCTAGACTTGTTAAGAGCCCCAGGAACCCAGAGAAAAAAAGAACACAACAAAGAAACAGATGCTCTATTTCCTTTAAGAGCCATATCTTGTGATTATCTCGCAGTCAGGTTCAAGTTTTGCACATAAATAATAAGTTGTTCTGTGCATGAGCACGAAGCTTCAGAAAGGCAGCACCAAATTTTTCATACCAACACTGAGTTTTAATATTAAACAGAAAAACATGAATATTTTTAGCGTTACCCACAGGGTTATGGCAGCTCCTCTCCGAAGTGTCTGCAATGTGGAACCTATCAGGGTGATTTTTAGCTGCCTGCACACAAACAATTACAGATCATTACAGAGCTGTGAACGGCTGCTGCGTGGATAAAGCCCTGCCCTGCCTCTCCTGTTGCACTTGGCTCTGCCTGCCAGGACCTGCTGAGGTCCTGTACAGCCACAGCATCACCGATGTGAAGGATGAAACCCTCGTGTGTGCCTTGGGCAGAGGGACCTCCCACCTGCACTGTGGCCAAAGGAGACATTCCCAGGTGGTTTTCGAGGCACAGCACACTCAGTGGCTCTTGCCACCTGCAATGAGGTCTTGGGGTTGTCACCTTCCAGCTGGAGAGTCTACAGACACCTCCAAGCTCCTGGAAATAGTTTCCAGCATGCAAACAGTCTTCACCCAAACTCACCAGGCACTGGGCACTTGAGTGCAGAGGCTTTCCCTGTGCTCTGCTCTGTGCTTTTGTGGGTCTGCAGGGATCGGGTCCCATTAAAACCCCAACCTGCCCTGCTCCTGACCCACAGACAGGGCTGCACGAGAAGCCAAGAGCCCTGTGCTAAGGCAGATGTAAGCCAGAACTCCTTTTCAGGGTGCTTTCTGCTCTGGTGCTCTGCCTCTCATCTGGTGGCAACCTGTGGAGCACATGGGCAGTTACGGCAGCT